GGGGGCCTTTGAGTTTTACTTTAACTGACTGGGGTAGGCGGAAGTGGTTCAGATCATCTGCTGATCTAAATCATCGGAGCTTTACTTCGTATCCTCCCTCTGTGGTGTGCTAACCATTTACAGGAGCAAACAAACAATTTGGCTCTGAGACATCTCCAGCGTCATGTGAAGTGGTGCTTTTCAGATTAGGAGGGTAGTTTTCTGAAGGAAAGTGCAGTGACCCCTTTTGAGTTTCAGACTCAAGAGAAAATCCATAAGTAACATTGTTTTGTTTCATAATTATTATTTTATGTTCCATCTAGCAAAGGCTGATGGGTTTTATAGGATGAGATTATTCTGAAGATAGTTCTGATGTTGCTGAGTTCTTAATTTAAGATGGTTGATGAGAAAATAAACCCGGGCTTCCAAGATTTTATGAGGAAGGACACCAATCATGAATAACCCTACTAAAAATATTTGCATAGGAAGACTCCTGAATATATGTCTATGAATACATGTATTGACTTTGAATGAAGTCAAAATGTAACCATGCACTTAATATAGAAAAAAGCTACAACTTGTGGATTAATCATTCACTGACATTTTAACTTCTTTTTTGTCTCTGCACCACATGCTGTGGTCAGACTTGTGTGCCGCATAAGAGCAGCATAGGGATTGAACAGTTAATATATGTGCACTGCTCAGAATCACTGCTGTTATTAATTGTCCTCCAGTATAGAATATGCACATTTCACGTTAATACAGTGATTACTGAGAGGGAGCATGCAGTTTCTAGCTAAGGAAGCTGGAATTTCAGAAATAGCTTGGCTCTTCACTTTGATTACTTTCTGGCTAGAAAGTTGGAGTCGAACTAATTCATCTTGTAAACATTACGGGTCATTCATGTACAGTACATTGCACGAATCAGGGTAGTACACTCAGACTGGTGCAAGTTCAAAAGTCCAGATGAAAATTACTGTTTCATTTTACGTAGCGTAATCCCTGTACAAAGTTAGAAGGACCAAATCTGTAGTCTTTACTCAGGCAAAATTCCCACTCCAAAAAAACGAAGGGTTTCCTTAAGAAAGGTGAAACGATAAGGTTCCAAATTGTTTGGTGATGAGCAATCCACCCCCTGCATCCTGAGAGTTGACTTCCAACAAATATTTATACAGCTCAGGGATACCACCATAGCCTCAACATTTCAGCACAAATATTAGGCCACAACCTCAGCTAGTGTAAATTGACGTAGTCCTATTGACTTCAGTGGCATTACAGTGATTTGCGAGAGTTGAGGTTCTCACTCCTTTTATTTTTTGCTCTGTGCCTCTCACAGAGTATGCTTTACATATTCTGTCAGCTGAGGAGCAGATTAATTTTAAAGTAAAAAGCAAAAAAAAAGAGCTCATCCTATTAAAATTTCTGCCCAATTTTAAGAGGGACTCAGCAAAAAAGAAAATGTATTCTAACGGTGGCCATGAGTTTTCTGTAGCATATTAGCATGCCACTGAGTTGGGGTGCTAAGGCAGAAAGCCATTCAAAAAAGTAATCAGCTATTCTGTTTAAAAAACAAGAAAAAATACGTTTGTTGAATCTGGACTTATTGCTCCCACGGATGAACTCTGTTGTCTGTGTTGGTCTTAACAGCAGTTATACAAAATATAAGCACACAGTTGTGTATTATAATATTTGTTTTTCAGTGTCACTAAGCCAGAATTCTTTCAAAGGATATGAAGCCTTCATTTTCTTTTCCAGTTATTCAAGGCAGGAAACATTAGTAAAGCAATTTTTTTTTTCCAGTGGTAAGTGACTTGAAGCTGGAGACAGAGAAATGTATTACATTACATATTTTCTACACAAACATGAGGATTAATTTAAATGATTCCCCTAAATCAAAATAACTGGAGTTTTTGGCAGCCTTTGAAGTTTAATGAATGTTTATCCTTTCCATCAAGTATAGGTTTTGGGACACCCTGCAGGACCACTAAAACAAGGTGATTTAAAGCTATTTATATAAAATAAGCCACAGCTAAGATGTTTGTATTAATATTGTAAAGAAAATGTAAGTATTTGCAAAATAGCTAATATTTTGTTTAACAAATTTTAAGTAAAATAAAGTTACAAAGTTATTTTCACTATGCTGTTAATGTCTATAGTTTAGGGCCTATACATTAACTGCAATGCTGATGATTTCAAAAGTAGGCTTGATATAGAGCAGGTCTCCTCTGTAGCACGTATGCTCTCCTAGGTCTGATTTCTACTCTTTTAGGGACACAAAAAAGCCAGCTTTGCTCATATCTTTCAGAATATATTTGGAATTCCTTTTAAATATCTCTTATCAAACTCAGCAAGAATTACCTATTACTTAGAGATATTTAAATGTGTGTTTTCTATAGAAAAAAATTAAATCAGGTCGTGAGATATAATAAACCAGACAGAGGATTTCCAAATACATTTTATTTCCTTCATGGTTAACACTTCCTGAAGTGCACTCCTGAAATGCTGCATAAAGGTAAAAACTGGTTTGCCTCTGTTGACTGAGACTGGCTAAAACAGTAGGTAATATTCTTGGAGATATGTAGCTGCTGATAATTCAATCATACAGACGTTCTCTGTTTTTTTTTTTTCCTTGAGGGCCATTTTTACAAGTACAAAAAACCTTGAAAACTAGATATTTTTAATATCTAAAATTCACAGCATGTCTTGCTGTTAAATTGCCACCTTAGAGGCCTTTTTAAAATTTCATTGAAAATGCGTATTAAATCAAAGTGATAGACACATGTAATGTAAAATGTCTGTCAACAATTAGAATCCCATTTGGAAGTTTGTAAAGCATAACAATTTAAAATGAATTTAGACTGAGAAGAGAAGTTTGGGCTTGCAGTATTGCGATTTTGTACGGCACAAATTCAAGTTCTTGGCCCTTTCCGGAGTGAAAGAGAACGCTATAAATAGAACAACGGGAGCTTCTAACGCAGTTAATCCACCATCATGTGTCAGTCAAGCACCTTCATTCTCCCCACAGTAAATTCCAAATTATGTCAATGGTTTAATTTGAAAAGATACAATAATGTAGTAAATACACAAACGGAATAGTCTGATGTAAAAATGTGTTGGCCTGTCATTTTCAGGGAATGTAGAATGCACTGCCTTGTAACTACTCAATAAATTTGTGTGTTATATATTGAAAAGTGCAGTTGTTTTTATTGGGATAGACTAAATCCCTATCCAGTAACATCCATGTGGTTTGAAAAAATGCCTTGAGGGAAACTTCACAAAATTTCCCTTGTATTCTTCAGAGACGATGACAAGTTTTATACACAAACCTCCCGGATGTCCGGAAATCACAGGATCCGGGCAAACAGGCTCAGTGGAGCCCAGAGGTCCCATCCCTCCAAGGCCACCTTGGCCGCGGGCCTTGGCGGTGCAGCTCCGTCCCTGAGGACTTACCCAGCGAAGCAGGGACCCGGGTGGGCAGTCCCAGCAGGGTCTCTGCTGTGGAAGGAGACTTGTGGACCACAGAAAGCAGCAGTTGGCCTCTATCTTTTCCTGTTTGGTGAGGCCATGCCTCCACTCCTCTGGCAGGGTCTGTGGAGTTCAGAATAAGAAATCTTTCAAGGAAGGGAGCCGATCTCTCTTCCACCCTGGGGAAGAGTGCAGAGCCCACTTAAACAGGATTCTTCACACACAGGTCGGAAGATGACCTATAAAAAAATTGTGTTTAAGAACACGTGACAGATCTGTGCTGCCTTGCCGCTACCTAGATAAACTGGGACATGTGTGTGAGCTGCAAAGTTTGGGCTTGCAGTCAGATTTTCCCAAAATGTGGGATTTGGCAGAATCTGGTGTTAGATTAGGCCTTATCACTAATATTTACTGAATACAATGTAAACAACTAGCATATGGTTTGTTATAAAATGAACATATTTTTAATTAACTTCAAATTTTGTAGCATGTATTTATCTTTAAAACAGGCATGTTTCCAAGCAATTTTCCATAATGCCATCTTTTCACTCTGAAATTAGTGTAATCTTGGAGAGATATGCCAACACTACGAGCATAGGACAACGTGCCCTCTGTAGCAATACATGGCTGCTTTAACCAGATACACTCCCAGTATGTATATGCTTGTGTATAATTCTTCCAGTTTAAGTTCTGGCTGTTTCTAGACATTGCAGTTATCACTTTGATTTTATAGGAATGACAATAAGGAGGCAGGATAGCAAGAAATGCAAAGTGAATTCTGCAGTTCATTTCTGAAAGGAGAGTCAATCCCATGAGGACTTTCTGTGGTTACATTTATTGGTTACATTTGTCACAAAAATAATTGTGTGCCATCACAATAAGCGGACGCATATTCCAAGTAACAGTTTTTGTCTTTGGTTATCTTGTATTTATATCCTCTTTGAATAATCCCTTTGAAGAGCCCAGATTACCTGTGATTAATAGATTTAAACAGGTGGTTTCAGGAGCCGTATTCCTAAAACGTCATAGTTGTTTTGCTTAGAGAAGCAGTCACATGAATACCAGCAAACAGATTCCTGCAGGCTTCTCTCACTACGGCAGCCAGCACGAGCTACAGGATTTTGTTGCTCTAGGCAAAACATTAAATGTAGGCCCTTCGCAATGCACAGTCACTAGCGCAGGGAAGTGTTACTAAACGTTTTGCAGCCCTGCGCAGCTGCAGGTTCTGTCTGGCCAGTGATGGCAGGGCTGGCCCTGAATGCAGATTTACCTGACTCTCACCCATTAGGCTCACGTCCATCTCACTTTTTACCTTTGCACTGAGTTTATCTAATTGCTTCTGCTCAGCGTGACTCCCATCACTGAGCACAGTCAGGTCTTGTCCTACCTTAGAGTAATCCATTACAAGTGGGGCAAAGGAGCAGCAGGTCCGGCAATCCTTGGAGAGCAGCACTGGGTGAAATTGAATTTTGCTATTAGAAAATTCTAGGAGTGAAACAGAGTAAATGATAGTGTTTGAACAGAGCGAGTGCAGCAATGTTATTGTGGTTTGAGATTACATGTACGGCGTCATACAGGACAGTACTGAAGGGGGAGGAGGGAATGAATGATATTTATCCTTTGTTTAATTCCACTTAATTCAGTACATTTATAATGCATTTGGCTCTCTGTTTTCATGAAACTGTTATTCTTAAATGCGATAGCTTTGCTTGTGCTTTCATGCAGCATAAAAGTGGAAGCTGCTTCAGCTGCAAAAGAAGCCAGGTTGAGGAAACTTGAGCGCTAGATCGAGTGACTTCAAGCACTACAACGTATGGAAGTGCAAATGTATGCAAGTATCAACTAAACATATTAACAAGAGACATCTTACTCCGAGGTATGTTATTTGCATGCTAATAATTGTCACTGGTGGCTTCTCTAAACCTTTTTTTTTCTACGGAACCGTTGTTTATATTCATTTGTAGTTAGTAATGGGCCTGATTTGGCGCACACACACAAATACAGCTCCTCTCAGAAATCAGTTTGTATAGACTGGGGGCTTAGACACATATTTTATTCGCAAACAGCTGGAACAGCTTAAGGAGTTACCATACCACGCACTGTTGCCCCATGCCTGAGATTTCCATCCCTTACTGGCTTAATATGTCATGCAAACATTTTTGCTAATGTTAGTGCAAAGCAGACCGTGAATGCTCACCTGCTAATTGCCCCCACTGAGCTATAGTAACAGTGTCTTCCAGGTGGGTGGTGGCAGGCGGTTGTGGGCAATGGACTGACATGTTCAGTCATTCCAGTTAGCCCTTGCTGGGAATTTGCTCCTGTGCAGTTGTAGACTGAAGCCCTGCCCTTGCTCCCATGTCAGTGCTTTGCTTCCTGCATGAAGAGGGCTTTCACCAGTAAGATGCTTAGGATTGCGTGCTTCTGAGGGCAAGAAAAGTAGCTTTTCATGGACCCAGAGATGTGTATATGATGCATCTTGCAGCTGTACAAATAGGTGTAGAATAAGCACTGCTGTTTGAGTCAAGCTTTTCCTATGCTGTCTCATTTTCAGGCATGGTTCTCCTCCTTTTGCTCCGCCTGTTGCAAGGTGTCCATGACAGAATGAAGCCTGGATAGCTGAACCGGTACAGACTGGGGCTACGTTTGTCTTTGCATATATGGCTTTATATCTATTGCCTTTAGTATGATCTGAAGCTCATGAAGCTTGAAGTTCCTATTTGGGCAGCACTCCTAGGGTGCCTGTGGCTAGGAGTGAGCTCAGATGATTAGCTTAATGTTTCTGCAGAGTACTGGGAAAGAGCCAACCAGACTTCAGAGCGCTACATACAACACACAAATAAGCGGGTCCTGCAATCCTGGAAACTTCATTTAAGATGGAATTTGAAGTTCCTTGAAGAAGGACTACAAAGCAGAATATGTAATTCAGGGTGAGAGTCAAGAAATAGCTTGTTCAGCCATGCTAATAGCCCAAAGCTCACCATGTAAGGGATGTAAAGGATAGAAATTGTTTTCCTAACCCCAAATTTGGTTTATGAAATTGTGTGGAAGGGTCTTCTTGAAGATTGTTCTATTGAATTACTTGGATTATTCGTTACTTGAGCTCTACTCAGGGAAGGACAAGAAAGTGCCAGTTTCGTCTTCTAACTACATGATCTTGGGCTTATGGAGCAGTGTTTTATCAAGGCCATCTCTGGATCATGGTGACTGATGTAGCATCCGCTGATAGTTCAAGTTGATAGTTGGCTGGCAACTGAGAGCTTCCCTCTTCCCTGTCTTTTTCAGCTGCAGAATTATTCTAAGATACAGGAAACTCGGAGTTACCTTTTGGGGTAGGCAGCTGCTGTTTTTGCAACTTGAACGTTAAATGATCACAAATGGGAAAAAGAAAGTTGCAAAACTGCGGCTGGGGGAGCAGATTACTCTGTGAGGAAATGGGCTCCCCACAAGCTGCAGAAAAGTGCTTGCAAGTCAGTGAGCAAATGTATTTACACTCATGAGATAACACGTTGCCACTGCAGACCGGTTCGTTTAACAGACTTGCCCAAACTGGGTGCCAAAGGTACTCTGCTTAGCACAGGCATGGAAAGCACAAGATTATTCATATGACGTTTACTTTATTGAAACTCGTAGCTGCCAAGCTAGTTCTTGTGTTGATGCAAAGACTGTGACAATTTTCACATTGTAAACACCATACATTAATCAGGGCATCCCAATATTATGCAAATAAAATGTATGTAGTTACAAATTCTTCCACTGTGTTTGAATCAAAAATATGTCATGGAATTGAGTCAGGTTGTCAGAGTCATTTCATCAGTCACGAAATTTGGGACCAATGCAGGCAATGTTTCCCCTGAGGTATGAGACCTGTTTATCCCGCAGTGGCTGCATATTGTCCAAATTAGAATGAAATCTCAAAATGTAAATAAAAATGTGCACTTTATAAATCTAATTTGACTGGGAAAAATCTGTCTGTGACAACAGGTCTTCCTTTGCTAGATGATTACCTTGTAGAAAATCATCGGTACAACTGCCATATGAACTTTTGGCCTTGTATTTTTATTTTGGCAGGCTACAGAGATTTAGCATAATTTTGTTTCAAAGGTAAGCAAATCTTAAAGGAGCATTTTTTTGAAGAGCACATCTTTTTCCATAAAAACCCCAGAAAATATGTGCCTCAGTCCTACTTTTTCATTTAGTTTTAAATGGCTCCCACCTCCATATTTTATGCTATTTTAAATGGTGCTTTGATTAAAGAAATGATAGCTATGATAATTTAAAAACAAAATCCACACTAAGACTCTCATGAATATATACCCAGCTGCAAAGCAATTGTGATTGTGAAGTTTTCCTGCTGTATAAAGGCACTTTTCTTAAAGCAAGATGTTTGGAGGAAATCTTGACTGATAGCTAGTTATATCTCATCATCTGATATCAGATGTATTTTTTCATGGCTGTTCTTTTGACATGTACATTTTTCAGTGTCTTTTTTTTTTTCCTACCCAGAGTTATTTCTGTAATGGGAGATACCACAATATGTCTTTGGAAGATGTTTTCGCAGCCCAGAGTGGTTTTTAAACTTCTGTATCTAAGGCTAGAGAAATCTGTGTCACTTCATTTCTAAAATTCTTTATTTCTGGTGGAGGTACATTGTGGCTTTATATGGCTTTGATACACTGAGATATAAAAAATTAAACTAGCATATAAAGGGATGTGGCTTGTAGGAAAAATTTCCCTTGTGGCATAAAATAAAATTCTTGGTTCTTTTTAGAAATCACCCTATCCATACATGCTGACCACTGCATACCAAACTGGCTGGGAAGGTCTTTGACCTAAGCTGCCTACCTGAAATGCCGTCTAATTTCTTTCATTAACCTAGAAAAAGATATATAATGAATAGAGTTATATATGAAGATCAGTAATAATTCTGAAATATAGGAATTTTCTCAAGTGTGTGGTACTGAATTAAAAAAAAAAAAGCTTGTTTTTAATGTAGGAATTAAGACATTCTGCTACCAAAAAAAGAAAAAAATCAAATGGAGGAAATAATGATAGGCTTTAGGTTGTGAGAGTATTTGTAGTTATTAGCACTCTCTTGGTTCTCTGTATAGTCACATTGAAAAGTGCATGGAAGTCTCTTGCAGTGCTGCATATTTATGAATGTATTTTTCTGCCTTATAAGCTGTACACACAGACAGTTGCTATACACTGGTGCGGGATATCGCTGGTAAGGGAATGAAGCAATCTAGGTATCTTTTATTCCCCAGTTTTTAACCATCTTGCCTGACGATTTTCCATCTAGCTTGTTTACTTCATGATTTATGTCTAAATTGACAGAGTCCTTCGAAGGCATTTGTGTTAAATTTGAAACAAACATATTTAATGCTTGTGTTGTAATAAAACAGCTAAAAGAGCAGATTAAAAAGATATGCACAGAGGGGCCTGATTGATTGAGGGATTGATTTTACTACTTTTCCCGTAGGTGGGGAGTGATGGCTGTAAATCTCCTGATAATCATTTCAGAATCACCTTCATCAATAAACTCAAAGGGACAGCTAGGTGTAAAAATTTGCCAGCCATCAGGTTAAACAAAAGGCATCAAATGTGTAAAGAAAGAATTGAATTAAATAATCCCACCTTGGCCGGTTGTTGCATTAGTCATGTCCCCTTCTGTTATCTCGGGGGCGGGGGAATTCCCCATCCCCGCGGTTCTGGCAGATTTGGGGGAGGCAGAGGGGGGAGGCTCGATTTTTTTTCCTTTTGCCTTGAGCTCAACCCGTATTGCTTACGATTCAATTATGCGGCTAAAAGCTTATGTTTGTGAGCAATGATCAATTATTAGTTGTCAGTAATAATGGAGAAAGATTCAATTCTGGTTCTTCTTCCCCCCCCCTTTTTTTTTTTCCTGGGGAATGATCATTAGAAAATAAATCAAAAGGAGAAGAGAGCAGAGGAGCGGGGCGAGCTGACAGCTTGTCCACAGAGGTGGAGATACCTGCACTGCACCCGGGCGGGACGGGGATGCCCAGAGCGAGCGGGAGCGGGAGCGGGAGCGCGGCGCA